AGTTGTTCGCGCTTAGCTTATTTAGAATTTTTCTTGCTTCTTGGTGAGTCTCTCCCTTGAAGTTATTGAGGGATGGATGATGTTTCCTTAGCGCTACGTTCATGGGATAACTACAACCGTAAACCGTAACAAAATCCCAAAAGAAGGCCCTTGGAGCCCGAAAAAGTGGCTGGTTAAAAAAGTGGGTAGTTAAAAGTGGGCCTTTCCTTTTTTAATGCTCGCCGCATTGCTTCTTTGCAATTGGTTACGCCACTCATATTAACATATTTAGTATTCTTATCTCTTAGTTTTTAGGGTTTGTTTTATATATATGATAATTGTATATATATGATAATTATATATTGTGGGAGGAAAAAGACAAGTAAACTACAAGTTCATCCCTACAAGCCTGTTTCGTGGTCGCCCACTGATGAGAAATCCCCTGATGAGTGGGCGACCACCAAACAGGCTTGTAGGGATGAACTTGTAGTTTACTTGTCTTTTTCCTCCCACAATATATAATTATCATATATATACAATTATCATATATATAAAACAAACCCTAAAAACTAAGAGATAAGAATACTAAATATGTTAATATGAGTGGCGTAACCAATTGCAAAGAAGCAATGCGGCGAGCATTAAAAAAGGAAAGGCCCACTTTTAACTACCCACTTTTTTAACCAGCCACTTTTTCGGGCTCCAAGGGCCTTCTTTTGGGATTTTGTTACGGTTTACTGTTGTAGTTATCCCATGAACGTAGCGCTAAGGAAACATCATCCATCCCTCAATAACTTCAAGGGAGAGACTCACCAAGAAGCAAGAAAAATTCTAAATAAGCTAAGCGCGAACAACTGAACGAATATTTCGGCAAGCACCAACCGACTAGTAATTATTTAACACTAAAGAGGCTGGATCGAGACACTCGTTTTCTTGTTGATTTGGTACTGTCATAGTTCAGAAATCCATTGGTCTTATTTTTATCTCGGTTCTCTTCAGGGGGTAACAATGTCCTCTCCAGGCCAACCAGTTTACACCAATAGCTTTGATTATAAATGACGGGAGATCGTTAGAATACAACAGAACCTTATAGGGGAGACTAGACACAAACTACAACCCTACAATTCCCCCACCAGGTGGTAAATGATGGCCGGTTTCGTCCCTTACTCTCTGTGTACTTTGTCGTTTTGTGTTTCGTGAAGCTGGTGAAAATATTAGACCAAACCTCTACAGCTAAACTAATATTCTTTTAAAAACACGTACAATCATCTATCTCCCTGGATTAAAAAACGTAAAAGATGAAACTCATAACGAAGCAAATAAAAAACAATCTAAACAACTTTAGAAAGTTCTATAACGATGGGTTTTCGCGCCCAACTGGGAAACTGAACCTTCGCAGACGGCACAACATTAACTGGGGGAAAATAACTCGGCAGCGAGAACGGAAACTCGTCACGATTTCCTGGTACACGGAGATCTACTAGTTNTCATCGCTTGTCAGTAAACAGCAAACGACTCGACTGGTCGCGGAACTGACCAGGCATATGGCGCTCGAAGTAATCTTCGCTGACGTCGATTTCTCGCTCTCATCATAGCGGCAGTCAAAACAGTTAAACAGGCGTTAACCCATCTTTCATAGATCATACGAAAGACAAAAAAGTGCTCGTGATTTAACTGAATAAGAAGAATAAGCATCACCGTGATCGTTATTAACAATGCTTCAACGGGACGCATTTTTTTAACGTTTGTTTTCCTTTTTCAGCTCACTGCTCTCTCCCCATAGCACGTCGATAAACGTGTGTCTGGTTTATCAAAGTGTCATCACTGACATTTTTTTCACCTAGTGCGACCCTGATAGTTGAAACCAAAAGTTTGCTTTCCGGTTGCGGTTTCAAATTTTCTGTGTTTTTTTTGCCGGCAAAGTTGAAAACTTTGCCCAAGTGCGACCCATACCTAGGTGAGAATTCACAGCTCTAATATAGAAAGCATACCTATTTTAATTGCAATAGCGCAGTTTCAGGAAATACTGAGAGTGGAAAAGTAATTAAAAGTTTCTGCTTATCTATGCAAGGTTGGTGTGGAAACTATCGTATGAAAATAAATTAAAATTTAAACTTACTTTAAACTCAGCTGCCAACAGCCATGGGGACCAATTTTTTCCAGAAAGACCAATAACACTTATATTTATCTAAAATTTCACAAAGAACGAACAACAAAAGTGTCGAGATACAGCTGTACAACTTAACTTGGATGTTCAAAATCTACCTATGGCTTTTTATCTTTTTAAAACATCGCAATGAAAGGAACTCGCATGAATTGAGAACGGCTAGAATACCAAAAACAACGAATAAATATGCTTAACCATCCACAGGGGAAAAATCATTAACTTTTCCCGTAACAGTTCAACGAAAATTTAACAAGCGTACATCCATCGGTGTTTTCATAATAATTATGAAATACACATGACAGTTCAGAAATCCACTGGTCTTATTTTCATCTCGGTTCTCTTCAGGGAGTAATGATATCCTTTCCAGGATTTCCAGTTCACACCATCAGCATAGGAGGAGTGTTTGCCACGAAGATACAAGCCATTCAGATTCGACGCATGACACGCATTGTACCACCAGGCTCCTTTGAACACAATAGCACAGTTGCGGTTTCTGTCATGATCATTATCTTGATCTTTAGTGGTGAAGGGTCGACTAGGAGGGAGAGAGTTACTGGCATTTCCTGAAACAAAAAAAAATAGCCGTGTTATCACTCACCATTTACACCTTAAGTGACACATCCAAACTTTTACCATACACCGTTAAATGGGCAAAATAAATCTTGGAAGATCATAACGATGAAAACAATTTAACAATAAATATTCAGTGAACATCAAAATAACAAAAATATCAATGATCCTCATCAAACGCCCAGTTCATTTAATCAGAGACCTTCGTCAAGGGACAAGATCCATCTGCGAAGGTAGCTTGGAAAGGTAGATTGGAAAATATGGAATAACGGAATTCGGAACCGGAACCGGAACCGGAATAGTCGGAATACCCGGAATTCCCGAAATGACCGAAAAATAGTAAATTTAAAAAAAATTAAAGTAAATTAACAAATAAATAAGAATATTGATGATTAAAAATTAATGGTAAATTCACAACTTAATTAAATTATTTAATACGAAATTTTTCTCTGAGGGCGCCCCCCCCCCCAAAAAAAAACACTTACCGGCACTATTCATGGAGATGCACGTATTAAAATTAAAAAAAGTCTGCATCAGGCCAGTAGCCCATACAGCCTGAGCGACAAAATATTTCTACTCTCCCTTTCCTCTGGATGGGATGCTAGTCCTTGTTTAGAAGAATCCATCAGCACAAGGTTTATATTCAAAGGTATATATTCAAGGTATATATAATAAACGCGAAAAAGGTGTCGAGCAACTGATCGCATAACGATCTCTC